CGGCTCCCCCTCCCCGGCCCGCCATTGGCTCCTCCGCGCCGCGCCTCGCCGATAAAAGAGCGTGTCCGAAGCGCCGCGTCTTCACTGCGGAGGCAGAGGGCGGAGTGCTGGACTGGGTGGCTGGGCGCAAGGCTCTCTGGGTAGCCCCGAGAAACGACGACCTTGCAAGGTAGGCGGAGAAGGTGCTCCCACGATCTTCAGGTCGAGTCGTTACTCAGGAGTAGGGCACCGGGAGCCCTGCAAGAGGCTACCAACCGTTTGCCAAAATGTGCTTTCTTGCGGCTCTTATAGCTGCAGTTACTGTTGTTATTATTTATTTGAAGCTGAGCTCAACTTCGGAGGACTCGGTGGGCCGAATCCTTTCCGCTCTCTGCTAACCTAGGGAAGCCCTTGCGGTAACGGGGAAAATAAGGCGTTTTAGTCCAAAACTTGCTTGGCATTTTTAGAAGCCCCAGGAAACTTTGGGGGTCCTGGGAGGAAGGCTTTGTGCACCCCGATTCTGCGCAGGTGGAGGTAGCAGCGAGGCGGGGGGGGGGCGGAAAGAGTCCAGTTCAAGAAAATCCGCTTTGTAGCCCTTCGGTTCAGACAGGCTGTGAGGATGGGGTTGCGAGCCAGGCATCCTTGGTGCCCTATAGGGCTGTCAAAAGTTTGGGAGGCGCTTCCTGCCTGCCTGCCTGCCCACCCCACCCCCAGTTCCCCAGGGATCCTGCTCTATGTCAGAGCTTGCAAAAGAAACTTTGAATCCTCAGCTCCCGTTCAATTGGCTTTGAAACACTTTAATGCATAAATAAATGTGGGTTGGGGATTTGCGGATTTGTGATTTTTTTAAAAGGAATTTGGAAGCTCTTGTTTAGAAGCCCCTGCAGGTAGACGGCTAGTTCTTTCGTTTTTTAAAAAAATATCTCCGGGGCTTTATCCAGAAGTGTTCACGTCTCTGGATTTTCCTCTCCTTTCCTTTGCAGCAGGAGGCACCAGCCCCTTGGATCTCGTGCGAGGCGCCCTCGAATCGCTCGCCCCGATGTGGTTCCTGGAGAAGATGCGGGCAGCGCCCGGAGAGGCCGGCCCGCTCAGCCCCTTATCGCTGGGCTCCCCTCCTGCGGCCGATAAAGCCGCCTCGCCGGGCGCCGCCTTCGCCAACGTCTTGACCCCGGACCGGATCCCGGAATTCTGCATCCCTCCCCGGCTGGCCAGCCCGGCTCCGGCCAAGAGCCCCGGCTCGGCCTTCCTGCCCCACCGCTGCCTCACCGAGCCGGGCCTGCAGTGCGCCGCCCACGGGCCCCCGGGACTGGTGCTGCCCCACCTCATCCAGGTGGAGAGCGTGGAGGAGAGCTCGGGCGCCGAAAGAGGAGGAGGAGGAGGCGGCGAGGGAGACGGCGGCACCACCAACGCCGACCCCCAGTCCCAGGCGGCGCTCTCTCTGCCCCACGTCCCGAAAGCCCAGACCTCCTACGGCTTCTGCACCTTGCTGGAGAGCCCCCACACCCGGAGGAAAGAGTCCATCTTCCACCGGGATGCTCCGGGCGGCGGCGGCGGTTCTTCTCCCCTGCCGGGCTCCCGCCGGCCCCGATCCAGAGCCAGCAGCTACAGCTGCGGCCGAGAGCTGGCCCCCAGCCCGCCCGGCGCGAGTCCCTCCTTCCCGGCCCGGCAGG